TGTTCCTTCAAGTGATTCAAAGTGGGCTGCAGAAGGGAACACGGCAGCCTTCTCAAGTGCTCTTCGCAAACTCGAGATGTTCAAGTAAAGAATCTATTGAACTTTCCGATGGGATCGGGTTGTCAAATCGAAAAACACCTCCAGAGGTTTGTTGCTCATGTGCCCTGTGCCGATGCCCTTGGGCCAGGTGGCCTTGGGCATTCCAGTGCCGCGAGTCTGGTGCGAGCCGCCCGGCCCGGCCAGACCGGTCCGGAGGGGAGCTGACCCGAAGACCGGTCGGCGGGCAACTGGGGCCCCACCCCTGGAGGGATGCTCCTAGTAGTAAGGCCAGGAGCCCCGTTCGTAGCGTCCTGGATGAGCTGGGGTGTGGACCGTCAAAACCCACCACGTTCGCCGGTTCGCCGTGTTTTTAGGCCATGTTCCTCGCCTAGAGCCAGCAGCGACGAAGGTGTGGCAATGGATGGACTGTCGATCTCGACATGGCCTTTTCTGGATGAACTCACCGTAACTACGCATGGAGGCAACAAAAGTCACGTTTTGGAGAAGCAAGGACGTCTGGGCCCATTCCGGCAGATGATTGTTGTCCCGGTTAGCACCGCCTTCAGTGCTAGCAGTGGAACCAGGGAACCAGGGAGTCCAGGTAGTGGGTTGCAGTCAGCTAGGACGAGGTGGGTCACAAGAACGGACCTCTTTCAAGGTTGAAGAGCTGTGTTTTCCATTGTTGTCCTGGGGTTGGAAGAGGTGTGAAGCCCAAGGCCCAAAACTATCATGTTGTTGCATGGGTAAGCGAACAAGGAACACATTGGGCTGAATGGGAATACAGTTGTTGCATTCGCGCCTGCCAAAACCAACATAGCAACTCTCAGACAGATGTTGAATTCCATTTCCCTTTGCTTTGTCAACTTGAGGGGGCCGACTGATCATGTTTTGGTACCAAGCGTCAGCAACATCGCCGCCGAGGCTTATGGCAAAGCTCATTGGGCTGCACCCTGCAGAGGATGCTGAACGAAACTGACGAAACCTTGGTACCGTGATCATCCAATCATTGGCCAACCCGGACCCACGACATACTTGGCTTCCATTGGGCACCCACTCGATGGTGCTGGGCACCCACGTTTTTTCAAGTGGGAAGGGCTGCTGAATCATGATATTTTATGAAGGCATCTCATCTCCCTAGGATTCCCTCTAGAAAAGTCCTTCTGGAGGCAAGTGCAGCCTCACCTACATGGCACTGAATGAACAGGGACCGGGTAGTGTATTCAAACAGGCTAAGTTACGCGGAGGCCACCATGCCATATTCCAGGATTGGTTTGTTGTTTGCAAAAACTTTAGGAGGACCGAAGGTGGATCGGGTGAAGGGGCCGGCCTGTGGCGTTGGGCCGGCCTCTCGCCCAGCCCAACCGTTGCCCAATATTTGTGTCTGTTTTGGTTAGGGGGAGGACTTGTCATTTTTGAAAACAGATAAGATTCAATTCAGGTTTAAGTTTAAGGCATCGATTGGAAGAGGAGCCGTGGTCCGTACTACTGGCACTCTTCGTCCTCTTCACGCCACTGGTGTCACCGGCGTGGTGTTCACCACGCGGCCTCGCGGCTCCAGGAGGTGCTCCTCTCGGCGAGCATGCCCAAGGGCACGGACCTCCGCGTCCTGGGCCTGGTGGACGACTTGGTCGAAAAGCCCACGGAGCGGCGCCGGAATAAGGGGGGGGCGGCGACGCGACCGAGGTGGCGACCGAGGTGGGGGAAGCATGTGGCCCAGGTTGCTTCAACGTGTGAGTCGGGCCGCGGCTTTCAACTTGGGATCCGAAGATCTGGAAATTACGCACTTCATCACTTCATCGTCATGTGTGGCGCGCAAGGATTCGTTTAGCTCGAGCCGTGCCAAAACGCCGTGCCAAGAAGGAGCTTTTGCCGAGCGCAGTGGCGAGAATGAAGACCTGGCTAAAGTTCCCTCCCAAGGCGTTGACTGGGTGACGGGGGAGATGTGGGTCAAGGGAGGCTTCTATGATTCTATGGGTGTATGACGGTCTGTTGGGGAGGATGGGTTGAAGCGCTTTTCACTGCCAAGCAGCACGGTCAGAGTGCTGAGATGAGGCAAGCAGAAGCTCCTTTTGGCCCCCAAATGGTTTCCAAGACATCCTCCTGAAAGCTATTTTGTATGATTTTTGTCTATATAGTATACATATGGGCCAAGACCTTGGATGTGAGAGCCGAATTCGCGACCAGCACGGCCGAACTCGCAGCTTGCCTCTGTCTCGGCCTGTCCAGGGCTTCCAAGAGACGAAGTTAATGCTGAGAGGCACGGCGCCCCATCGTTGTTCCATCGGTGTTTGACTCTGTGTGGGTCGTTTGGGGTGAGTTCATGGAAGCGCACTTTGTCTGAGAGCTTCCAGAAAGACCCATTTACATCTCTTTAGCATATTTGACCCCACCCTGCTAATTGCCTAAGAGGCCTGTTTCAGCGAAAGTGGCCCGGCACACACTTTCGCTGGTCGTGGAAGAACAGACTTATGTGTTATGTGAAGAGATCGTTTTTGTAGTGGTGCGTGCGTGGCGCTGGAGTCACTTGAGTCATGACAGATGAAGCGGATCTTGGGATCACCCCGCGACACTATAAAGACCCATGCCATGTCTCACAGGGGTTGGATGCTTGCAAAGGCTTCTGAAGGTGGCAGTTCCGAGGCCTTCCAGGAGGTCAGTGGAGAAAACACCCTTCGAACGATGGGCACTTCAAAGCCGTAAGCTGCTCAGAAGCTGCAATCTTATTCTTCACTGACGGGGGTGGATGCTGCAAATGTCGAGGCTTCATTCCTTGATGAATCCCAATCTAATGAGATCATTCAGATGTGGTTGAACCGTGGTTGGTTCATGTTGCTTCATCCTGTTTGGCCAGACACGCCCCCACTTCGAGGTGGCTCCTCCGAACTCTGGGATGGCACAGGCTCCACGGACTCCGAACGGCTCCGGGCTCGGCACAGGTGACTTCGCACAGCGATGGGCCAAGGGCGTGGAAGCAGAGTCAGAGGAGGTGGGACCCAGAGCTGGGGGATCCGTGATTGGGCAAGACGCGGTGGAGGACCTAAGTTATGAGGTGGGCTTTTTGAGTCGGACCCCTTCCCAGATGGTGAACCAGATGGTTCCATCCGTGTCGGGCGAACAAACACCCCTCAAGTCCTTGCCGTTAGACATCACCCTTAAGTGTTGTAGAAAAAAACGGCTTGGCAAGCATGGTTTGGCCGACCCTCTTGTGTAGGATCCATGGCAACTCTGGGTATGTCACGCACTCGACAACCCCGAAGTGACCGGCAGGTGCAAGGGAGTTGCTGAGAACTGGAGGGCATGGTTGGTAAGTAACGAGCTTGGGCTAATGACATCAAGTCTTTATTAACAACCCCCTCGAGGTGCATAGGCATGTCGTATTATGTTATCATATTTGCTTTTTGGTGAGGATGTGGAAAAGGAGTCCGTCGGCCTGGTTTGTGGATTCCATGAAGCAGTTGTATATGGTTGGGTGCACTCTTCGAAACCAAAATGACCTCTAACTGGGTTCATTTCAATGGTGTGGAGCACCAACGCACCAACGGCCTTCAGGTGTGGAATGCTGTGAGCGATCCCCGCAGCGTGGCCTCCTTGGATATGGTCTGGGGCCCCAGCGATGAGCTCGGCGGTCTTTCTGGGACCCCACCGCGCCCCGGGCCGCCGTCCGCGGGAGCTGAGTTTGGCCCTGCAGGAGCTCTGAATGGTCCAGCACCGGTCCAACTCCAAGATACTCCAAGTAGAGGATCCTTTTGTGACTGAATTGCATCTTGCAGGGTGGTTTCGGACATGTTGCGCACTGTAGCCAGACGCCACTGGATCCTCGCAATTCACATCTTGCAAGTCAGTTGGTGTCCTACGATCCAGCGCACGGGTGGATGACACTGCCCTCACCGACATAGGGATCGCACATCCACCCAGTGGCACCGGCCCTTCGCTGGGCTCCGTGGCGCCACCGAGGTCCTGAAACGGTTGCATGGCGCGCCGAAGGCTAAGATGTGAAGGGGCCCCGTGTGGCTGAGCTTCGCCGAGCTTCCACGCCCTTTTACGGAGCTTCCGGGTGGTGGTTTCAGATATATATGTTTGTTTTCGACCTTTACCTGGGATGATTGAACTCACGTGCCACTGACTATTAATTCAAGTAAGTTGAATCCACCATATTCCACCAACCAGCTATCCTTTGAGCAAGTTAAGGCACGTAAGGCATGAAGAACATAGAAACAGACAGCCGACAGCCCCACTGTCCCCTGGCAGTCCAAGAAGAAATAGACTGACCTCAAATTCCAAAGAAGAATTCCCATGGCTAGTAGCTTGGCCTAGATCCATGGTTGTGCGTGGGTCTTACGTTTGAGCCAATGGCAAAATGGTTGCCAATCATTAGGTTCTGCACACTGGAATCGCCCGATTCCCAACGCAGCCACTTGAAACTGCTAGGGGCCGTGGTTTCCCATGGGCGAGAAGCGCGGCAGTCAATGACTAGCGTCCTCCAACAGCTCAATTGAATCAATTTGTGTGGACCAGAACTGGCGGGGGTATGAGGCCCTCCGGCACAAGGTCGGGTTCGTTCGCCCCAAGTGTTCGTTGGTCTTTTGGAGACGAAGGAAGGATCTCCAGCTCTTGGAGACTTGGAGGGCTAATGAAGTGATCTCTTGGATCGCTTCCACCCGTGATGAACAGCAAAAGGCTGGCACAGCGCGGGCGAGACAAAAGGCGCTGACACGGGCACGCGCAGTGTCTATGTTTGTGTGTCGTTTTTCAATGTCCTCCGCCAAGCGCCTAGGTCCCGTGGCCATTTTGGGGCTCCAGGAATTCATTGGCTGCACCCGCTCCCCGGAGTCAATCACCAAATCCCAGAGCCAAGTTTAGAAGAGCTGAGTTTGTGCAATCTGTAGGATTTTGGGGCAAGGTGGAGGAGTTCCAGCTCGGTTTGGAGGGGTTTTGGGGGCCCCCAACTGCTAACATACCCACCTTTGACCTCGGATCAGTGCCTTTGACCTCGGGGTGCAGCTGGCATGGGACGCGGTGCAGCTGGCATGAGGCACATGGTGCGTTTCGGTGAGATCCGGCGATGAAGAGCCACTCGGGACATGCAGAGCCAGGCTGGAGGCTCCGACTCCCAGGGCCGTTGGGGTCGGGCGACCCCATAGACGAGAAGGGGTCTTTGTCAGGTGGTTGAGACTTTTTTTCCCCCAACAAGGGCGACATGCTCATATTAGGTAAGGCGGAGGATGTGGGTTTGGACGCTTACTGAATGACCCCGTTTGGATGGGTCAGGGCTCCTTCAAATTGTAGAGGCCATCACTGGTGTCAAAAGATCGCCAGGAGGTGTTGAAACATCCATCAGGGTCATGCCTAGCTATCCAGGCAAGTTGTAAATTGATCCAGGGTAGAACGAGAGGCAATGAAAGGCAAGATTGACCACAAGTCTCACGTCTGAAGTTCTATGATTTTATTTTGTTCATTTTTTTTTCCTCCTCTCTCCCTCTCTATAAAAAATATATATATATATGTTATATATATATATAGAGTTGACCCTGAGGCACCAAAAGCCGTTTCAAGTCATCTCCAAGATACCTTGAGAGTCCCACATTCAGAGCCTGGAGCATCCTGCCACTCCGACTCCCTTTTCATCAAAGAGTGCGGCTTCCACTTTTTGTGCAGTCGACGGGCGGCCTCTTTCCGAGGTCAATTTCTCCTGAGGTCGCCGGCCTTCAAGGCACCTCAAAAAGAGAGTGACTGAGAGTGACATATGATATCATATGGCATCGTCTTCTTTTCCTACAGGTGGAGTGCAGACGGGGCACAGACGGTGGCCGAGAGATCTCTTGGACATCTGCTTTGGGGCGAAGTCTCATGGAGGACTCACATGCAAAGACCTGTCTCCCATATCGAGTGAAGGATGGTGAGAGTCATTCTGTAGATCAAGAGTTTGCCATGGGAGTCCCAGACTTCCTTAAGCAAATCACAACATATTCAAACATCAATAAATCGTCCCGAGGTGATACAACTAAAGCCCTTCCTTTACTTTGGTGGGGCGAACATGGTGCGCCCGGGCGCCCCAGCCCCCAGCCCGGAGGCCTCTCCCAGCTCCCGCTCCACGACGCCTCGCCAACGAGCTTCCCGGCGCGACCGCGGTGTCCATGGGGCCCGCAGTGCGCGCGGCCAGCCTGGTGGGGTCGATCAAGCTGGAGGGCGACTGGAGGCCTGGTGAGTGGAGCGGAGCATAGCGGAGCATAGCGGAGCTGTGGTTGGGAGAGGTCAAGTTGAGCAACCGAAAACGAGAAGAATGAGGAAAGAACTCTCCGCCAGCAGTTCCATGTCGGGGTCCCAAACTTCGTGGATAAGGGTGCTGTCACATCCACTCACTGGATAGGACTAAAGGCAACCCCTTCGTGACTGGCGGGATGTCATTGAAGCAACGGGTCACGGGAAGTGGCATGATTTGTGTAGGGCACGACGCGCGACACTGGATGACACTGAGTGCGAAATGCCGCAGGAGAGAGCCCAGGAGAGCCCGACCCAGAGCCCGGCGCGACCGCGCAGTGCAAAGGCCCAAGCTGTGCGAAAGTCAGAGTGTCTTGGATGGATGGTAGATGGGTCCGCGGCACCACATCTCTTTTTTTTCTCGGTGCTTTTACCTCTCGCCAAGCTTCGATGCCACAGGCTCTCTGGCCCAAAAGTGGCCGAGGTCAAGGATCATTCGCCTTGGAACCTCCACATCCTAGCTGCAAAGACCACTCACAAGGTCTCCTGCTCAGCTATCTGAGCTCGCCCGGCCGAACTTCAATTTCATCTGGCCCTTGGCTCTCGTACACAACTGGTGCACCCATTGTTGTGCGCGGCCTTCCACCACTCTGCAATGCTTCAGGCATTGTTGACACTCAATCCACCTTCCTTTCTTGTGGAGGGCATGGCTTGGGTGGATGCGCATGCGTAAGTGGAGTTCAGATTCATCCACAGGGCCAGTGATGCATTCTTTGGCTTGCAACTGCTGCAGTTGAGTTTTCCCACTTCTGCGTGGGATGCGCTCCCAGCACAGCCTGCACCCAAAGTTGTTTCCTTGTAGAAACCAACGGTGCCCACTTTGGCCTTCTGCACGAAGGCTGGAGTCATGGCACCACATCTCTCTCCCTCTCTCTCTCTCTCTTTGTTCCCCAGGGCGGTCGCAATGATGATTGCACCCGCTGACGGTGTTCTTCGTGAGTTGAAACCAGCGAGCAGAACACCACACCACCACACCACCGCCCGAACGCCCTCGCCTCGGTGTGTGGCTCGATGTGGCTCGTGGGAACAGCATGCTTCACTCAGCCTCGATCCGGCGACCGGAACCTGATGAATGTTTGGATGTCGATCATCCTGGGAATGGTCGACATGAACCTATGACAGTGTCTCTTTTTTCCCACGCTTCGAAACATCGCTGAATCAGTCACCAAGTTCACCTAATAATGGATCCATGTAGATCCAATGCGTAGAAGATCGCTGAAATCACCTAACATAGATCCCTATATATTTATACGTCTTTTCTGCCTGCCCGCCTGCCGAAACGCGACGGCTCCGCCGAGCCGTTCTGCCGACCCGCCGCCCAGGCTGCAGTGTTTAGAGATGGTCCTCCGAAGGCCGTGGCGTTCGAACGGTGGGTGGATGATGGGTAAGGCACCGGGGCAGGGGCCCAAAAGGAGTAACAAAGAGGGAGGAACCAAGAGTCCCACATGAAAGAGATGGGTTTAGGGTTTAGCTACCCATGTAGAATGATCCGGGTTTCGGCGATTTTTGGCTTGCAATTATCGTGGATGTTGCGCCACATTCATCAGATTGTCTAATTATCGATCATGGGTGTCTCGTTTTTTTTGAACACGCAGCAGTTGCATCAATCTACAACAAGATGGACCTTGCTGCCCAGGACTGTTTATATCATGTTTGCTTTCACTTGTCAACAGACCCAGAGCTGCGGTCAACGAACATCTCCGCGGTGCTGGTGACTCAGAGTGCTGGCGAATCGTTTCTTTTGGCAAGTGGCGATCTGAAACCGAACCCCTTGGCCAGATGGCTACGTAATGCGATTTCTCCAACCAGCTGAACTTCCCGAGCCGAGCCGAACCTTCGCCAGTTGGACTTCACTTCTCAAAGCCCTAAACCCATTTGGGGCCGATCTCGAGAGACATGTGGTAGCTATAATTATGCTTTGAACCTTCATGCCAGCCACTCACCATCTCAGTCAGGCTCTGTGCCACTCATCCAGATCTGCCCAGGAGCTGCCCAAGGGATGCGCAGGTGGCTGGCTACCTGCGGCGAGCGCACAACGTGGAGCCGACCGGGCAGGCCGAAGAAAGAAGGGTTGAAGTTGAAGTGGCTTATCAAATCGAACCCATTCCAGCGTGGCCAGTCTTATCAGTGGATGTTGCACACATTCTATTGAATACCTCTGCTGATGCCCGATGAAGTCATAGATTCCTCATTGCGCCCGAGTGTGCCTCGCCGTCCGCTGCGCTGTCATCGTCCGCAAGCTTCTCACATCTCCTATATACTTACAGTCGTTTCAGAGGTTCGATGGCACTGGCACCCGAAGAAGTCCTTTAGATGGGGTCCATATAAACCACTGACATTGGGGTTTGTGCCATTTACTCTCAATCCACAGTCCTTGCTCCGGTCCTAACGTGGTGTCCATGCCCTCCGCCTGTGGCAAGCTGAGCCGGGGAAGCGCGGATCCCGCCGACTGGACCTTGCTCCACAGGAGCGGATTTTCTGCTTCGAGGGGCCCGATGAGCACATCCGCCGGGCCTTACTGCTGCAAGAGCCCCCCTGGGTGGAGTGGCTGGGCCCAAAAAACGGGGGCGAGCGAGCAGTTTCGGTCCTTTGGGGGCTCCTTGGAATCATGGTTAGGTGGAGTTCGCCGCTTCCGAGTTTGAACTTGGCCGTCCGAACTCGTGGCCTCCATCCACTTCCGTCTATGGCCATCCCGAATCGGGCCGCGACTCCTGGGCCAGCGAGGTCGGGGGGCGGTCGGCAGGACCAACAGAGCCCCCAACAGAGCCCCCAAACGACGAGGCCAGTTCGGTGGCTTGTCATTTTGCAGTTCGCCTTCTCTCTCTCTCTCTGTTGTGAAATCTATCCTGATGTTGAACAAGGGAGAAAGAAAGAGAGAGAGAGAGAGAGAGCTAGCTCTCAACATCCATGGTCTTCCATGATCCCTTTTCCCTCCAGATTCCAAGTCTTCCAAAAGGCAAGACTTTTCGGCTGGCTCTTGCACCCTCTCAGCATCCTACAGGACAGCTCGCCTGTCCGCTCCTTCCACCTGACCTCCCCTGATCTCCCCGATAAAACGGCGTCCAGTGACCTCCGCCGAGGAACGAGTCGGTGACCTCGCAGATCTTCCACTTGAAGTGGACTGTCTCGGACAGTGAAGCCGACTACTGCACCTTGGGCCAACCTTCTCGCTGGTGGCGAGTCCGTGAGGAGTCCGTGAGGAGTCCGTGAGAGGAGAGATCCGTGGTTCCTGAAAAGATGGACCTGACTGGAAGACGAGGGTGACCTCCACAAAGTCCACAAACTCCCGTGGGTTTTCCGGTTTGATGTGAATCTTCCGGGCGTATGTGTGATCCACCGTGAGTTGGTGGATGTCCAATGGTCAGCCCCCGTTCCACCACATGTGAGTGCAGGGGGTGGAATGGGGTCGAGGGTGTTGGTGAAGGGTGGGGATGCGAAGCTGCGAAGGGAGGAGTCATGAGCCCTTGATGGGCATTGAAGTACTGCATATTGAAGTCATGATCGTGGGAAGATCTGTGTTTTGTTGGATTTTGGTACCCTGTTCAATCTTTGTCGGGGCAGTTCTTCACCTGTGAAGCTGATTTGATGGCTAAACTGCCTGTAGGTGGCTTGGCTGAGCTGGAGTGAGCTACTTCAACGGACACTTTCCATCAACATGAGAACAGAATGGGACTTCAGAAGCGGCTAACTTACACTTACACCTCATCGTGCACGGTGGCCTCAGCATGATGATCATGATGGATTTTGGCCTCGACTCTCGACCAGTTCTTATTTTTGTGTTGTTGGGAACCGGAAACATCAGGTGAGCTGCGAGAAGGAGCGCTCTTCAATCACTTCCAGAAGAATCGCGAGCTAACCACCAAAGTGGGCCTTGCCAACAACCTCCGGAGGTGCGCGGTTTCACAGGCCACGCCTCCAAATAGGATCTCGACCGCCTTGGCGGGCACTCGCCGCCCCCCAACAATGGCATAAAACCAGTTATTGAACGGTGAAATGACACCGGGGGTTCACAGCACCTGTTCCCCAGATCTTTTTCTTGAGTTCCTGGCACTAGTAGTAATGCACTTGTTACTAGTAGCCATGCCCTTAGCTGCTAGAAGCGTCCTTGCTACTAGTCATGTCGACCGATTCCCTCCCCTGCCACCGGAGCCAAAGATCACCTCCCACATCGACCGTTTAACCTGCGTCGCGTGCGGCCGCAGGTTCGCCTGCGAGGAACAGGTGGACATCGACCGCTTCTTCCCACGCTGCTATGTGACCTGGATTGACCTGCTTTTTCTTCCAGCGCACGTGACGCCGAGGGGAAGCCCCACCCGCGCGGGGGTAACAAAACACGGTTCGGTGAAGTTCATGAATGTTTTGCTCCCTCTCTCTCTCTCTCTTATAACTTTTTCTCTCTCACCGGCTGCTGTGTGCCTTTGACCGGTTGCTGGTCGATATATTTGGATGATTACGTCCAGATATGCGTCAATGGACCTCGACAGATTCCGGATGCAAAAAAGAGCTGCAGGGAGCCCAGACAAGACATTCTCGTCGGGGATTGGGTCCACGGAATCCACGTTCATCAGCAATCCGATCCTCTCAACCGCCCCAAGGCACGGTGCGGAAAATCATCTCCCATTAGGGTTCCCTGCAGCTGGTGGTTGAAAGAGATCCCTTTGGTGTGTGATATTGGGGCCACAGCCACAAACTTACTTGCTGTCAAGCTGTCCAGTAACAGCAGCTGACTTCTCAAACGTTCCCTAAGAGGTGGCAAATTCTACTGTACATTTTGTTGCGTCACGTGCGGTGCTTGGTTTGCTTCAGCGTCACGTGGCAGCCGAAAATCAGAATGTTGGCGCGACACATGCTAGCTTGGTTGGAGGGTTTCCTCTTCCCTGAAGGTGTCGGTAAGGGCCCAGCGGGCGCCAGCCTCACATGTATACCTGGGAGGATGTTCGCACCCACGCAACACCTCGAGCCAAGGATATGAGCTCAGCCAGTGATGTGCAGGAGATGTTTTTTGATTTGTCCGGTTGGGCAGAGGGCAGGAGTGAGGTAGCCTTGCTGTGGTGCTGTTGGCGATGTGTTTGATGATTGAGTGCATGGGCGCATGTCCATGTCAGTGAAAAATAGAATCAAGTATAATCAAGTGATATCAAGCGCTTCTTTGACTGCATGGTGCTTAGTAAGGAATGAAGGAATGAGTTCCGCATGGAGAAAGACCGCGTGTGAACCGGGGGCGTTTGTCAAAGAATGTATATATTATCTTGGGTCGTCATACAGTATGATATGCTCAGCAGGCACAAAACCTTGCTTAAAGCATCTTTTGGAATGCGTAGACCCTGCACAGCTGATCTTCAGACGGAGTCTCACCTGCACTCCGCGGAGGTGTCGTCTTGGGAGTCTCAAACTGCACCTCCCAGATTCTTGAAAAAACTCGTCCTGGATGGCAATTCCTTAGGCTGAAGCTGGCTAGAATGGAGAGTGAATAAAGTGAATTAAGGTGACGTAAAGTGCGCCAATGGGGCCTTTATTCTTTAAAGACTCTTGTGAGATGTTGGTTGTCTGCATCATTGTGTAGTTCATTTTTGTTGGTTTTTGCTGTGTCCAAGGTCGATGCCAGATTCGATGGGGGGTTTTTGTTTGCACATGGAGGTACGTACTATATTTACAAACACACAATAGAAATAGTATTGCACATACACATGAAAAACATTGCTGATGGCCATGGGGAGAACAAGAGAGAGAGAGAGAGAGACACTGCTGCTGCGCTCTCGGCCGCCGAAGGACTTCGTCCTGGACTTCCGCCGGGGCGCGGCGCTCAACGTGCTACGACAGCATCTGAGGCTGTCGGCCTGGGCGGCCGAGCGCCAGAGGCGGCGAACGGTGGGGAGAGTGGAGGGTCAAAATGCAGGGTTGATGTGATGTACACGACCACATGGTGACACGTGGTGTTGGCAGCACTCTGACAGATCTCTGAAGAAATCGGGTATGATTTCAGACGATTTATCAGGGTAGGACCTTGCAGGGCTGTTGCATTCGCTTTTTCCCAGAAGATGCGCAAGAACAAACAGAGCTGCCTCAGCGCTATAAGCAGAGTTGCTTGGACGATGTGGGCCTCACCATCCCTCACCCTTTGTTGTGCCTCCTTCTTTGCCCGCTCGGGTCGAGCTTTCGCAGCCGAACCTTTCGGGAGGTTGATGGAGGTTGCGAAGATGGACTGGGCCGGCAGCAGCTACATGTGCAACGTCAACGTCCTGAGGACCCTGGAAGTTTCCGCGCGGCGAGTCCTTCCGCCCCAAAGTGGGCAGTTGGAACGTGGGGTGCCTGTAGCTGGACAGACTGTAGCCACTGTAGCTGGAACTCAGTCATTGGTGAGTTTCTATTCGATTTTGTGGGGGGATATGATCTTGAATCTTGAGGTATCTACTGTAAAGCAATTCTAACAGCAACCAGGTGTTCTCCAATTTGCAACCGGGTGCTGAGATTTGTTGCCCGCACTACAGCCCGTAGCCATTTTGCCTCCAATGCCACAGTTGTGGCACTACAGCGAGTCTTCTAGCGATAGTCCTAGCACTCTTGAGTATCTGAGCACCGCCAGCAGCAGCGAGGATAGTGACATTGAGTGTGGGCCTTGAATGTTCAAACTTTATGGGGTGATTCCTCAACACACTCCCTCCCGAGGATGCAGCCCTATGTCATCAAGCTGTCACCAACGCAGATTAGGGGCATCGAGTTTGGTCCAAGCTTTGCTGAGGCTACAGGCTTCTTACTTAGCCTAGGGCCTAGTTTGCCCGTTCTAGCACCAGGGCGGTACATTGGCAGAGTTTGCTTTTCCTAGGCCTGGCAAATTGCCTGAAGCCTTTGACGGCACCAATGACCATCATGACAGACTGCCAGCCCCTCAAATTTACTTTTGCACTGCCCCCTACAGGAGTTTGTTGTTTTATCATACAAGGTTCGGGAGCAGAAGCTCCAGTGCTGTCATTGGACATGCTTCTTCGTGGCGCTGGATGCATCGATTTGTACACACATGTGCACCTCACTTGGAAGGGCAATGTTGGCCAAGGTCAGTTTTTGCCAACTTACCCTGAGGTCAGCTTGCGACAAAGCCCCTGGACCTCAAAAGTTCTTCCGAGAGAACTTCCCAACCGTCCCGTCAGTGTCTTAATATAGTTCTTCGTTGTCAATCTGAATCATGGTTTGAGGTTGCAGGAAGACCTGGAGACAAGGGAGATTAAGCACCTGAAAGGGAAGGTCAGGCTCTAAGGACTGTCCACACTCCACACGGTCTTTCTAGATCTTTCTGGCAGGTTTTTGCCTGCACGGCTGGCTTCCCGTGCAAAGCCTTTTCCAAGCTTCGGTGCTTCTCCGACTGGCTGGAGGATCGAGAGGCCAAGCAGTTCTGGTGGGTCCGTGACAGCATTGCTGTCATCCAGCCCAAGGTGCCCAGCCTTTCTGTGAATTTGGGGCGCAACACTGTCACCAGCAGCAACGTGTAGGATTCAAGCAACTTTTTGTCAGGTTGTGATTTTAGAGAACGTGTTGGGAATCAAGAAGGTCATGGAAGAGGTCAAGGCCGCGTTGATGGAATGCGGTGACTACGACATAACTGTGCAAGAGTTGGATCCGTTCCATGGTTTAAACACATGTTTGTAATGGTCCCAGGATTCTTGAACGCAAGAAGGACTAGAGCCCCAGCACTCTGTCTTGTAGTTGAGGTTGGAGCTCGGCATCAATGTCACCAGACGTCGCTTCTACTTTGTCATGGTTCGGAGAGATGTTCTTGGAGGTGAAAGCCTGGACCAATGCGCAGCTTCTGTGGTGGAAGCCCTGAGCACGAACCGTGCCACCATACCATGGTCTGATTCTTACTTGTCCATGGCGCTCAAACTTAATTGTTGTTTGCTCTCAGGACAGATTTCCTGTTGGACGACAAGGACGAGATTGTAAAGTCCCTCCGATCCAGGCTTCAGGCACATGCAAATTGTAAGTTTCCTGAACTGAGTGGATTTGGTTATGAGCAGGCACGAGCTAAGAAAATGAAGAACAAAACTTCAAAGGTGTATCCGATCGGCAAGAGGCTAGGCTTTTGTTTCAGACAAGTATCAAACTATAATCAACTTCAAATCTAATTCTCTTCATTGAGGCCATCAAAAAAGCAACCCAAATGGTGTCGATACCATTGGACCTTTGTGAAGAAGCACCAGGTGTGATAATTGGCTACTTTGTCCATGGTCCGGATTCTGGCTTTCCACCAGGTGGATGCCGAGAAAGCCCGGAAGAGACTCGTTTCCTATGGCCCTTGCGGATTATCCCAACGATGTCAGCAGGTAGTTTTTTGCATACTCAAAAAGGTTTCTTGTTTCTTCGATTCTTTGCCAGGCCCTAGCGATCCTCTCGGCCAAGAACCGTCATTTGGTTTGCGCTGACATCAGCCAGAACCTTGGGCGCATGCCTACAATGACAAGCTGCAACCAGCCCTTTCCCGTCATCACGCCCATTGCTCAGCTTCTTTCCCTATCATCAACCCCTCGCCATGCAACCAGTTTTCAACTTAAGGCCAAAAGGTTGCTACTGGCTACATCATGCCAAACGCCCGTTGACAGGCAATGTTTCTTTCTCCCTCCACCATCCTATGTGAGAGACTGTGAAACTGGCTTGCTGGCGCGGAGGTGCGGAAAAAATGCTGCTGCAAGGATTTCCGCTACATCGTCTTCAGCTAGGAACACTCAGCGAACAGGACTGGACACACCAACCCATTTCACAACCGAGCAACTCAAGCATGCAGGAAATTGGTGACTTGGGGGGCAACTCTATGCATCTCCGCTCCATGGCCTGTGCTTGGGCTATTGCGCTCAAGGCCGGGAGAAAACAGTGTTGCTAATTATTGAACAAAACGATTGAACAACCTCAGGCTTGCGACATGGATGCTGTGAACAAGTTCTGCGCTCGGTTGAAACTAAGGTTCCCCCTGGCCACCTTCCATTACCATTCTCTACCACCCGCCTTTTGGGAACGAGAAGCTAAGGCTCTCATTCCTTGGTCCCAGCTACCTAGCCATCTCACTCTGTGCAGGAAGGGCGCTCCATGAGGCACCTCAAGGCATGGCTGAGCAGTGGGACAGGGCTGAGCACTGAACCGAGCCCACCCAACTGACTAGGGAATTCCTGAGCTTTGAGACTACGTACCTTCACCTGCTTGGTGTTGCCTGCTCTGTTGAGCCATCTTAAGCCCATAAAGTTTGCAAGAGTTTATCAAGAGTTGCAATCAGATTCAACTCTGGCTTTCTTCCTGCCTCAGCCACTGTCTGTTGGCCTCAGCAGGCGCGTCCAGGGCCTCAGCCATGGTGGAACAGGTCAAGTCAGAGGTGAAGAAAGAAGAACCCAAACTATTCGATGGGGAGTTTAAATCAGAGGAGGACGGGTCCAAAATGGCTTCAGCTAGGGATATCATCTGGGCAACTTTTCAACGGGTGCTTTTCTTAGACTCACTGTTTTACACAATGAGCAACTGATTCATTGCCCACATTGTGTGCATGCTGCTCTGAGGTGACTCAAAACCAGAACCTCGGAGACTGGCTGAACGACAGGTACCAGGACCGTGCCACGTTCGAATCGGCTATCCGCCGAATTGCCTATGAACGCCGGCCTGATCACATGCCCGCACTGGTTTCCATTGTGCCCAATTCCACTGTCAATGAGCTTTTCTTGGGACTACACCAGTTGGACTATTCCAAGGATGCCAAGAGCGGTTGTGTCTAGACATAGATAAGATGAGAAAACAATGATCGGTGTTGCTGTTTTTTGTGCAAAATCAATGTTGACAACCAACTAAGTCTTTCCTCACATGGCGACACTGAGCATACACATGAAGAGTGTGATCTTCAACAACTTCAATGCCTACCGGGAACCGTTGCAAGTCAAGTTTACACCGACTAGTACACGCCAAGTGGACCCATTCAGCATTGGGTACGTTGATGGCTTTGGCAAGGGCCTGATAATTCAGGGAATTATCGGTCTGGTAGATTCCCTAGAGCCTCTTTCAATTATCAACAATTTTGGATATTCGTTTAGTTTTGTTGCGTTGTTCTGGAAACTGCCTACTCAGTTCCAACGGCTTCCATTCTCGATCACGTCTAAGGAGTGGCCAGTGGAGGATCTTGATTCACCTGACTTAGCTCCCTTGCTACAGTCCCTGTGTTTCTGCAAAGCTCAATATCGCCACCAAGAAAACCCAGCGGAATATATCTATGAGAGCCTGCGCTCGAGACTTAAAATTGTGCAGCTTCCCTCCCCCAAAGCTCCACCCACGAACTCGAGCCCCGCTTGAGGTCTCGGACATGAGACGTCAGACAAACAGCCGCCAAGCGCCCTGGAATACGTCGGACAGTTCCAGAGAGCAATTGAGCTGATGAAAGTGAAACAAGGGAAGTCTTCCATTCCTCTCTCTCAGTCTTTGGGCGCTTGCATTGCCGAGTTCAACAAAACCACAGTCCAGAGAAAGTACAAGATAGACACTTGCAGACGGAAGGTTCTCACCAATTTGATGAGAGCTCCACGGGGCTTCTCTGATCTACTTGCTGGTCACTATGACAAGCACAAGCACAGCAGTTCAGGTGCGATTCAGTTTGTGCACGGTGTGCACATCTATTATATATTGATTCTGCAGCCCTCACCGAATCAAAACTCATGAGAGTGTGTGTGGCACAACATGCACTCAACTGTTCAGTAGATACCGCCGGGGTCAGTTTGCATGCAATGGGCAACGAGGAGATTGGGTCATGGCTTTTCCCCATCATGTCACATTTCAATTTTTGTTTGACATTTTAACATCATAGTCTCCTGATGGGGAAATGGCGCGCCAGTGCATCTCGAAGTAGAACACCTCCAAGGGCATGTGCTCTTGGACGGTGGCGCGCTGACGAGAGTGACCAGGAGTTGCATTCACAAAGTGATTCCAGCTCTGACTCAAGTTCTACATCTTCCACACCTTTACATGATCACAGGACTTGGTTTTGGGTACCATAGGGTGAATCGTGGAATACTGGACCTGCATGTTTCTTTGACATCACGTTGGTTGGGATCTCTCCAGGCCAAAGGAGGCTGATCTATCTTTCCAGCATTTGGCATCTCTCAAAGCGGCCAACGATGAGGATGAGAAGTGGAGTGTTTATGCTGAGAATGGTACTTCCAAGGAAAGAATCAGGGAAGTATTGTCCTCTCGTGAATCATCTGGGTGCCAATGCAATCGGAAGTGCTG